TCTCCGAGATAAAAGGCAAGAAACTAAAAAGAGCCTCATTGAAATCGTATTGGACATGGTGAATGTGTGAATGTAAAATGTAAAAACTTAAATTAGGGAAGAGCGAAGAGTAGTTTCGTTAGACACCCTGCAGCCTAAAATGGAAACAAGAACCCATGTTCCGGGCTACCGTATCCCGCAATTCCTCTTGGGACCTTAATGGTGGGGTGAGGTCACTACGCAAGCGTGTGTCGAAATACATGGCGTTTCCAGAGCCAAAAAGGGAGAGACGGACAGTAGGATCAGTTTTGTGTAATCGATTCGCCCCGCGCAGCAGTCGCGGACCATTCGCCTCGTTATTACAGCTCTAGCGTTCTTCATACAGCTCAACCGATACGCGATTACTATTTTTGGCATGATTCTGATGCTAGTTCTTTTGCTCCTGTATTTCCTACTAGCTGCTGCGTTCTGTCGCTTCCTTCGCGCACGGTCTCGACGCAACGCGACAATTTCGATCCTACTGCAACACCAGTTGATTGGATGGCCGAGANTTTTGGCATGATTCTGATGCTAGTTCTTTTGCTCCTGTATTTCCTACTAGCTGCTGCGTTCTGTCGCTTCCTTCGCGCACGGTCTCGACGCAACGCGACAATTTCGATCCTACTGCAACACCAGTTGATTGGATGGCCGAGATAATACTCTCAATCATAACAAGTTTCATTGTAAAAGAAGAGAAACCACAACCATAAGCAAGAGGAAGTAATTAACAAACTTTTTAGTGAAGACGAGTTTTAAAGGGTCACAAATGAGGAATCACATATTAATAACATTGTTCCTCGAGTTTATGTAAAATGACCGTAATAGAGGCACAAAGTTGGAGCAAAATGAATTCCGAACTTAAAACATGACTAGACTGACGGTGCATATCCATGAGCAAACGGAGTACACTTCAAATACATTAAAAAACGAATTTTGTCACGAACGTCAAAAAAGGAGTTGATAGAACCGATACTGAAGCTATCCTGACAAGAAATTCTGCCGGAAGAGAGCCAATACAGCACATATTCGGTCTTTCGTGTATGGCTAAGAAGGAATTTTTGGAGAGACTGCCAAATTGGAATTGGTCTACGGTTTTCTCTAAAAATTGGTCCAAAACGTATGCAAAATAGAAAGGTGCAGGCTGTAGGCAGCATGTAGAGGCTCCAGTAGGCTCAGACTCAACTGGTACAATCATTACTGTAAACGGTAAGGAACGAAAGGGATTTTTGTTTGGTATTTCTCTAGCTCAGCAAGACTGTCACTGACTTCAGTGTAAAACAGTGTTTGAAGTCGTACGTATGATGCCGTACCCTACTGAAAGATCATTTTGGTCTGTGAATGGATCAGGATCGCCTACGGATGCATCTTTTCACGGATGATGTCTCCAGTGGAACCAGCAGCATATGAGTCATCCCTCAACTCCATTGACGATCAAAGAAAGTGAAATGAACACTTATAAATTACATGTTGAACCTTCATTGCAGTGCAAATGCTAAAACGGCGTGAATGGCGCTGAGGGCAACGGAATCGGCCTGAAAAAGTTCAAGTAGAGTGGTCTCTAAAAAGTTTTGGGGGGTGATTCTTACCGCAGCCCAACTCCATTTTTCACTCCATTCCAAGTGATTGAAATCGATCGAATAGTGAATTTCTATTACTGCACTTATTCCAGCTAGCAGTGAACAAAATACAGCTGACGGCATTTCCTTGAAAAAGAACAACCACCAGATTGCTGAATTTCTGTTAATTTGCAAATATGAAATTTTAACGAAAAGATTTGTTCAAGACGGGGGCGGGGGGACCTGTACCGAATTCCCACGGTCGCGTGCACGCGCACGGCGAAATTTCGGCAGCGGTCCGGCGACATGCAATGACAGTAACCACCAATTGATGCTGCTCCACAATCATTCATATCCTACCCATACATTGCACGCTTCAATCACCCATTGAATTCCTGCCATACGCAAAGGATGCGACAGCCTCCAGTTGAATCCCAAGCCTTATCCTATCCGTTCAGGCAGCAGTGTAGAGCCATAGCTATGCTCAACTGGGCAAGGAAGAAAACAAGCTCTCTGCAACGAATCCTACTGATTACGTCATTTTAAACTTTTAGAACCGCCAGTCAATCCAAGACTACCGATGGAAGTCGTCTCATTTTTCAAAACATCACAGAGGTATCGGTGCACGCCAGTTGACTACTTCAATTTCCACATAGCTACGTAGAGCCGCAACGGTTTAGGGTATCGATGTAGTACTAATGGGCACACGCACTTGTGTTATTGAACAGATTTGTTATTCACAACAAAGCCGCGTTGATGGTTACGTCGCCGTCCAGACGCTCACACGATGGAAGCGGAAGAGTGACAATAGAGTGGAATAGACGCCCTTGCCATAAACACCGACTTAGGGTCACTTATGAAAGGATCACCAAAGACTGCTTGGGAATTAACTGCCTTCTAAGAGATTTTTGTTGTCTAAAGGATGTTCTCATCCTCCTGGTACTGCTAGCCGTAGCGGGCCATTACCACTTGTACTACAGCCACCCAGTGGTCGACTCTGCCAAGGAATAAGTATTGAAATCTGTTTTCTGCTCAATACTCACCATACAGTTGTATGCAATTGCACAGGGAGTGTTCGTATAGAAGACGTTGGTGATAAACCAGGCTAACGAGATCATGGCGATAAGAGGAGCAGTGAGTATCGGGAAGTACTAAAAAAAGCTAAGGAGTTGATTTGTCTGCGAAAGAAGTTTTGGAAACTCACCTGTGCATATTGCCGATTCTTCTCTGGCCAGGATAAGGACTCACCACACCGGTTGTAGCGACAATATATCCCAGACCAATAGAACAGAAAAATTGAAAATACCTGAATTACCCTCATTGGGTTTATGTGTGCAGAAGTAGAGCTACAGCAGTTTCTCTTTTCATATGTACACGGAACATTTGCAACCAAAGGTTTAACTGAGAAATACTTTACTAGTCTAGCATGAGTGGACCCGATTCCTCCCATGCCAAACTAATATTTTTGTCAACTCTGGCAAGACATTGTAGAAGAAGGGAAGCACTGGTCAAGAACTACAAGAGAAGTTGAGAAAATTCACTTTTTCTACTTCTTCTTCGTCGCTCTAGCGTTCATCCCGCACCGTCGCAGGGTCCGCTACTCAAGATAATTNGTTACTGTATCGGAAGGGGATTGTCAAAGTATTACCAGATGCATTTGGGTAACTGGAAGGATGCGGTACTCTGTCGACTGAAATAACGTTTATAATGTCTACAGTATAGTTAGTTGCTACCAGATACGGATGAGGACGAAGAAGCACACGCTACAAACACGAGCTCATCTCTGTGAACACCTGCTGAGCCTTGTACATCACCGAAATGACAACAGGTTCATGGCGCACTCCAGAAGAATCGCCCAATTCACTCCTTTTGTTTTTGGTCAACAAAATTAGCTTAATTGAACAGAGTGAAGTTGTGCTGCCAAGTAGAAATGTAGCTGTACAACCTTGCAGGGTGTCGTCGCTTGACAACTGAAGCCCTTGGTTTTACATATTTGAATCCATTCCTTTGGTTATGACAGATGTCAGTGTTGAAAAAGGGGAGTGTCGCAGTTAACTCAAGGATGGTGTGGGAACACCTAGTGGATATACTTTTGTAAATGAAGGAGCACTCAAAGAAAGGAAGATTTAGCTGGATTTATGCTTTTAAACCTACCATCTGTACGAAGAGTCTTGTAGCCTGTTTCGATGATAAAGCTATCGCAATCTCGTCCTGACATTTGGAAATGACCCCAAATTCACAGGTAGTGAATACTGTCCGCAAAGACTAGAAACCTCCCTACCTGGGATGAGCCACACAAGCAACTTCCGTTTTGGCTCCTAATGCATCAAGTGGAACGACGATCCTACTGCGGCTGATGTGTTCTTCCAATGGATGAATCAATGTTGTCATCTCCTCAGACAGATATGACCCCGCTTCATCGAATCCCCACCTCTTTTCAATGCAATTTTCCCGAATTATATCAGTTTCCATGATAGTTGATAGATTTAGATAGAAGAAGAAATAACCAAGGCTGTTGCCGATTTCACTGTTGACTATGACTGTCAAGTATTTGATGGTGTTTGGTTTTATGACCTTTTTAGCGTCGGCCACTAAACAAGTGCTGTGTCTTCGTATACAAGCCTGATAGCAGGTGGGTTTAATCCTGGATTATACTAGCGGAGGTGTTAGGGTATACCCCACCCCCATCATCCACCTCCAGTATAGCAAACAAGAATGACAGGTCTCAAGTTACTAGCGAAATAACAATTATAACAATTAGGGTGTGAACGATCCGAAGTGTCGTATTAAGCCTTCGATAACGATCGTATTAGGTTAATTACTTTTTCCAAAAAAGAATTTTCTATCGGCTCGGCGACTTCAACATTATGTCCGGTTGCTAAAAAAGCCACAACCTCAATTACCCCGACGATAACTAATTCATTGGTTGACGGCTGAATGTTGAGCTGGTAAATGGTGCAGAAATTCCTTCGAAACATGCTATACACAATGTACGGCACAGCATTAGAGTATTATCTGATTGCATATATTTATGTATATAGTATTCCAATATCAACGTAGCCTGTCGGTCCCTATTGAAAGTGCATGGAATTTTCTATTTATATTCTGAGCTTGTTGACCATGCCCTACCGAGGAACTCAGGATTTGTGTAAGAAGTTTTTGTCGTTTGATTTACTCTGGTTTAGAATTTAGCCAGGGCAGAGTTGACGGTGGTCAAACACTGAACAGCAAAAAACACCCCAATTGAGTCTTCGACTGTTATGGGACTCTGAGAGGCAGAAGGTTTCTGATAGGTTCCAAAATCTACTTCTTAACTGCTCGAGAAGAAGATTCTTCATAGGAAACAGCAGTAATGCGTTTCACTGGGTTCTGACCTGTGTTGCGACATCTTTCCCAAAGCCTGTCTTCTATTTCTCAAAGGTGAGTTCGCAGTGAATGGTTCCCGAGATATAACACAGTGAATCCACTGTCAGGTTCGAAAATGGCTTAAATACGGCATTAGGCTTGAAGATTGTAACGGCTGTAAGCCAAAGATGGACGAGTTCTGACGGCGTCGTGAACGCTCCTACATTCACAAGGGATACCCATGGTGGAAGCTCAAGCTTGTTGAGATCGACATTTTTGGCTAGATCTGTCAATCTTTTAATGCTATTCGGTTGAAATTTCGTCGACCACCCCTTCTGTTCCCGTCATAGTAATCTCGAACAACCGGTATTTTTACTTCTTCTGGGAGCCTTTTTTCGAGAAGTGGGAGAACTTTCTCGTTTTCTTTTCCACCGACGCACTATTCCCCGCCACATTTCCGCTTTCCAATTCACAAAGGGCATCCCGAAATTACCTTTTTGAGGCAGGTTTTTGCTTGAAGGGTACTCAATGAGCTGGGCGTTCACGCAAAAAAGTGCTGAAGCCTAGAAACTTGAAGAGGGATTCTTTGAAGGCGGACAAAAGTATTAAAGGGTGAAGACTCGCAGCGTTAATCAATGCTGCCTGAAGAATTCGACCTTCATTCAGAATTGGTGTGGCTTATTGAATGCGTATGTGACCTACCCAATGAATCGTGGCGGCCAGCACTGTACAAGTCAGTGTTTTTATCCTCCCAGACGAGACTGGTAGCAACCAACCGACCCCGGAGGGATGAAAGGCTTGCTTGGCCTTGTCGTATACTCCCCGCATGAACGAGAACGCTCCTCAATCACGCCTGCGACGTTCAACGGGACCGCTATAAAACAAACCGTCTACCGACTACCGGGCTGCTGCTGCCGTTGCTGTTCTCTCACTGGCCTAGCATTGCAACTAGCGCCCATCGTATCGGCACTGGCCGACTTGCCCTGGCCTCCCCCTTCATTCAATCATGATATAATTTAATATATAATTAATAAAATATGTATAATACATACCCTGTGTTCTTTGTACCCACTCATGAACTCACTTTCCGCTACGCTATCAGTTATGGGAGTCTTGATCCTATAATCTGATAGCCTAGACGGATATCGATACGAGATTCGAACTCGTATCATGCATGCGCGATGTGCCACTTGCCACTACACCATCTCCTCACTTTGAAGGCAGATATATTTCATCAAATGGAGAAACAAAAGCTAGTTCGTAAACAGGCTAATTGCCATTTGCTTTGATTCCCCTTTCAGTTTAAAATGAACGATACGGATACCTTACCTGTAGCGAGCTAGTAGTTCCCAAACCAAGTATCTCTGTGGATGAGGGCTAAATTAATCAATTCTGGCTTTTACTACCTGAGTAACCTTGGCTGGGAGTCTATCAGAGTTCCTCGAGGCATCGGAGCTCAGGCGATAAATGTTTACGGATAAATCTAGACATGCCAATGATTCGAAACGCTTGAAACGAACTCAAACCATTTTTTTCGAAAACACTTCCCCTACGATTGCAGCCTTTCAAAACAGACTTCATATTTTCCAGTTGGTAGGGGCCATTAACTTAACGGGATATATTACTGCACCTTTCGGTCTGAGAAATTCATCTTTCAGAAAAAGTTCTTATGAACTTCCCTACCTTAAACGACGTTAATTTTATTTATCATAAATTTGAGTATGAGCCGACGTATGAGCTCCGACGAAAGATCTTGCGTGAGCATTGTCAGCCCCTACATGGCTTTTCTTGAGGACATTGTAGTGGGTAGAGCCCTACCATGCGATGGGGTAAAAAGTGCAAAATTGATGAAGAAAACGCGAAAATCGGTGTATTGAGAGAAAATCAAGCGCAAGGAAGTCGTAAGATTAGTTGTTGGACGAAAATGTGACGATAAAAGTTGCACGGCACGATGCCGTGAGGACTCGTCCGCCTTCGGTGTGTACGTCGGCTGAGCTGGTTTGGGGTTCCTTATTTCGCTCTATCTAGACCGTTTTTGATAAGACAGTGACAGTGTTTCTTCAGTGTCACAGGTTCCTTCTAGAGAGAAATCTCAGGAACCATTCTCATCGTGAACAAAGCCCTCACCCTTTTAGATTCTCATTAAACATTTCCAAAATCCCCGCTACGTACCGGTCATGCAAGAAATTTGTTATGGTTAAAGCAGTAAAAAGCATTCTTGAGTCAAGCGCCATGACCTATTGTTAGCTTCATCGCAATTTATGAATGAAAACAATTTCAAACCACTCCCTGAGCTTTCTAGGAGCTAACCATTAATCCTCCTCAATTACAAACTTTTCCCCGGGAACTTCTCGTTTTTTTGCTCTAAATGGGCAGTACCCTTTCTCTAATGAAACATTAAAAGGTATGCTTTAAGCTCACACATTGTGCCCATTCGGAGGCCACCTCCATACATTCAGAATCACAGAATGACGTATTGGTACATATTTGGCCTAGGCAATGAATTTTGGGGGTAAGGCGTCTTGCAAGTTGGCGATTATGTCCTTTGGGTGAACTTAGCATGAATTGACTAAAGTATTGGTGAGTACAAAGGAAGCAAAGGCTCAGCTGGCCTAAACGAACGTCGATCCAGGATCTGATTTCCGCAACTTGCGTATGGTGGCGGCGCCACTCGACACTAACCCATTCCCGCCCGTCTCAAAGCTAATGTGATCTCAGTGCATGGCGCACTCCGGAATGACTGATAACCTGTGCCCGCATTTCTCTATCTCTTTTCGGATTAACACCTTCAGCTTCATGAGCAGGGAGGAACTAAAGAAAATGAACTGTTTGTCGTAATATACTTTTCCGACAATTTAATTTGTCATCAATCGGTTCCGCTATTCAGCAGAAGTGCGAATTTATAGCTACAAGCGTAAAAATGCAAGTGGTACACTAACTGAATTGAATGTTGTCCTGATTACCATAATTGAAGGAAACCGCTAACATAACCCGGTAATAATGCCAACTGAGGTTTTTTATTTCAAAGAAAAAGAAGTTATAAACTCAAACAATTCAATAGCAAAGTTCATTTCCATGAAAATCAAAAGGATGGCAAACATATACTTTTATACAAGATCTAGTTGTATTCAATAATCAGAAAAAGCTCGTTTCCAATCTCGAAATTGAAATTTCTCCGTTCTCCCAGGTGTTTTACAACTTAGTGAGGTATAGGAAAGTTCTCGACAGTTTCCTTCCGAAGAAGAATGGGTCACCTCCCTCAACCAAGTGCGGGTCACCAGTAACCTTGAAGGGTTGAGTGCAATGGTGATCTATGAATCTACACAGAGCTACTACGAGCCGATGTTACTGACAAGTTTTTTTTTTCGATGCGCCGTACATGCGATGGCTGGTTGGGGCCGTATTATATGTGGCTTGGTAAAGGGGTAGCCCCTTACATTTTTTGTTAGTACGCACTAATAGACTAGTTCTGTGAGTGATTATAAAAAGCGCCCTACAAAAATACCATGGTAACACCTAAAGGTACAGTTTGCGTCAATTCTAGGTACCGTTTTTGAGTTTGAGAACGTTAGTGCAGAATATTAAACCGGTGACTTCTTGGAAATACTCAATTTCCAGTAGTGTACGAGATTATGGCGACTATAGGGGTGTTCGCACGAGATTTCAGTAGCTGCAAAAAGACGTTTCATTGTTGACTACAAAATGTGCTCCAATTCTCATTCATACTGCAATCCATAAAGCTCAAAATGGGTTGACGGCCTGGTTTTTCCCATTCCATGAGCAGTTTTGATGAGCAAGAGTGGGATTCGAAA